AAGTGATGCTCCATCACATTGCAGTCCTGTGGCATCTGCTCCTTCAACACAGTGTTTCTTTAGTAGCTAAGATGTTTAATTATAAAATACAGTAATAATGTACAGGTTTACAGTAATTACTTATATAATATAGTAGTGGTATATAATACATTTTTGGAAATTTAGACTAGCATGATTCTGAAATGAAAACTGCTCACCTACATTAAACTTTTCATTCTCACTTTGGTCCATCTGAATCCTTTGCAATATATCCAAGTCTATTTAATAACTCCCCACCCGCAAAATCACTTTTAAATTACACAACGATGGATGAAACTGCATGAAGAGAATGAATAACATCCCGTAACTCTACTAATTAAGTGAGGAATAATCTAATAATCATCTGTTTTAATGCACAGGGTAATTTGATCCACGATCCGCCATTGCTGTAAAAACTGGTCCATTGGAGTGAACGGAGTTGTCACAACTCTCTCTCTCTACGGCTCTGGTTGCACCTCTACGGCCGTGACCTTCTGAAAAACTTTAATTCCGCATCATCCCATCAAGCTCTCGCTGGATCCGCTCCTCGGCTATCAGCGAAACTTCCTGGTCTGTGCAAGGCTGTACTTTCCCAACAGACCACGAAACAACTTATTTTGTTGTTTAAAAAAGGTACGCTCTGTTCAAAACTGTTGCTTTCGTTAAAAAAAAGTTTAGTTCGATCCTCGCTGGCTGTGCTGGTTTAATCTAGTGGGTCTAGTCAAAGACTATAGAATACCCAAGATGTGTCACTCGTATAGTTTTGAATGGGGAAAAATTAATAGCTCAATATGGCTGCTCAATCACAGGAAGCCCTGCCTTCTGAATGAAAGAGCCAATCACTAATCAGTAAAGTCAGCGCGTCACTGCAGCTGCCATTAGAAGAGTCCCGGTTGCTATAGAAACAGTCAGCGTTCTGAGATGTGCGCTTAGGACTGCGCATATGCACTGGCTGATCTAGCCTGAAAAAATAAGCTTTTTATAACACTATTTGAGCAAAATAAACTACATTTATGACACAGTTGTTGTCAGATTTCATTGGTGATTTCAAATATGAAATTTAATCGTAAGCTTAGTGAACAGTTTGGGAGAATTTAATGTTTTCCCATACAAAGTGATAGGAGCTGCACTTGCGTGCCCGAAAGGCATTTCAAAGATGGCCGCCGAGTGACATGACTGGCCTTAGGGACTTTGGTCTAGTCAAAGCCACTAGAAGGCAAGCCTGCAACCATTAGCCAAAAAAGTGTAACGGCTAAAGCTAATGCTTCCAGTCTGGCAGTACGTGGGAAAGGAGACCAGAGGATAGAGAAGGAGAAAAACACAGGAGAAATGGTTAAGTGATGCTCCATCACATTGCAGTCCTGTGGCATCTGCTCCTTCAACACAGTGTTTCTTTAGTAGCTAAGATGTTTAATTATAAAATACAGTAATAATGTACAGGTTTACAGTAATTACTTATATAATATAGTAGTGGTATATAATACATTTTTGGAAATTTAGACTAGCATGATTCTGAAATGAAAACTGCTCACCTACATTAAACTTTTCATTCTCACTTTGGTCCATCTGAATCCTTTGCAATATATCCAAGTCTATTTAATAACTCCCCACCCGCAAAATCACTTTTAAATTACACAACGATGGATGAAACTGCATGAAGAGAATGAATAACATCCCGTAACTCTACTAATTAAGTGAGGAATAATCTAATAATCATCTGTTTTAATGCACAGGGTAATTTGATCCACGATCCGCCATTGCTGTAAAAACTGGTCCATTGGAGTGAACGGAGTTGTCACAACTCTCTCTCTCTACGGCTCTGGTTGCACCTCTACGGCCGTGACCTTCTGAAAAACTTTAATTCCGCATCATCCCATCAAGCTCTCGCTGGATCCGCTCCTCGGCTATCAGCGAAACTTCCTGGTCTGTGCAAGGCTGTACTTTCCCAACAGACCACGAAACAACTTATTTTGTTGTTTAAAAAAGGTACGCTCTGTTCAAAACTGTTGCTTTCGTTAAAAAAAAGTTTAGT